TCGTCGTTCCTACAGCACGGCAAGCAACGTTGACATGGCGGATAAGTGGGGAGTGACGCCGATGTATCTAAGCGGCCAGCAACGCTCAGACGCACTGCATACAGCTTCTGCTGTCCGCCGGCGCGAAACCGACCTACAGAAATAGGGTGAGTGAATTCGCGGAGACGTTTGTCGCTACTCTTACCCCTGATTAGCGCATTTTCAAATTGTGATGGTAAGTCATTAGGCTATTTTCAGAGACTAGCAGCTGTCATTATATCACTGAATCCACATCATAGGCTGCAGGCACAATCAGCAATAATATAGTGCGGCATGTGCTCGTGAAGGCGCGCATTCTTCGGCGTTCACCCCGACTGTCTGTACGAATGCTCACGCAGCTCGAAAGTGCAGCTCTCGCGCCCGCACACGCCCCCCACGCCTCACACCTTTGTAATTCACGCCATCTTTTCGGACCGCGCGACGTGAACTCACGTCACGATTGAAACAATTCGATCGGATTTGAATCAAATTGAATCGCGCTTTAGTGCCATCCGACAGTTCATTTTCTAACGCACGATCGGCCGACGATTGTAAACCCTGATTATGCGAGTCGAATCGGAATCGATGTGGTGAAGCGCTTCTCCTGCATCTTACAGAAGACAACAACAATAATAACTAGACAGAGAGCACTCACGAAGAGTGCATACCTCCGCCAGCGACATACGCCATACGCCTCATGTAACATGTATGTGTTACGAGCTGGCTCGCCGCTCGCTGCTTGGCTGCTACTGACTGACTGGCCTGCTGCTGGCTGGCGCTCGCTAACTTGGCGCGCTAATATCGCATCGCCGCGAACACACTAGCCAACACGAACACAACTACATGAGAGTGATCACATAACCTCCTCAACTCGTTGGGCGGAGGTAAATAAACCCACGTAACATCGGAATTGAGGTGACGCTCTTCTACCCTGTGTGTTGCAGAAGATGGGACCCAATAAGAATAATTAATATATTTATTATATTTAATATAATAATACTAATTCAATCCTCTCTTGTTGACGCCGCCTTGCAAAAGACAGGGCTTGGGCCAAACCGACAGTTCAATCACGTACTCATCATTTCTAACGCTCGATCGGCCGACGATAATGACAATTTGTCATTATTAACCCCTGATAAGGCCTAACAAAAAAATATGTTTGTTTCCACTAACGAGCTGAACAAAATTGGACACGGTAGGCAGGCAAAACTTTTTTTTATCAAATATTTTAAATTTTTTTGTATTTTAACAATACTTGTTTGCTACATATAACAGCCCATATAATGACTTCAAAGTCAAATCAATGCATTTACCGATCGATATCACGTTGGGATTTTTTATATTAAAAAAACATATTTTTTAAATATATATCTTTTCTTTTTTTTGCCGATCACAATAAAATGTTTCGACACTGCAGTTTAAAATGGACTCGGTCGGGTTAGCGGAAACAAACGTCTTGTTTTAGGCCTAATTAAATTCTCTCTCGTTGACGGCGTCTTGCAGAAGACTGGACTCGTGCCAAGGCAGCTCGTCAAGCACCAGCAGTTCTGCGACTGGCTGGAGACGGTCTCGCACAACCCGCCCTCGCTGAAGCACCAGTGCCGGCTGGTGGCACGGCGCGCCGTCGGCCCCTACCCCGTCGCCAAGCTCGCCCGGCTCGCGCTGCCCAAGACACTCCGCGACTACCTCCTGTTCGCCGACTTCGACGGGATCATCCACGAGGGGTGCCACCTGCGCACGTGCAGCCGCGTCGTCGTGCCCGAGACGACGCACTTGTAGCGGGGCGAGACGAGGGAGGGAGGGAAGGAGGGAGGGAGGGAGGGAGAAGGAAAGGGGGTGAGTGTGGGTGAGAGGGAGGGAGGTAGGGATCCGCTGGGAGCGATGTTATCCGAAGAATAAGGAATCGTAGCTCAGTAGTTGGCACGTCCTAGAAGAGGGAGGGAGGGAAGGAGGGAGGGTGAGAGATGGTATAAGAATGTGGCGCAATGTGCATCAATAACTGCTGCAATGTATCAAAATGTGTAAAAATGTTACGCCTGCATGTAGGTTGGTGACCACTGTCACTGATCTAAATATAACATAACCTAGTAAATATTAGTTTTAAAAATCCAAGGGACAACTACATCGAAGGACTATGTCGATATAAAACCTATAATATCAGGAGTCTATCAATATATTGATAGACTCCTGATAATATCAAGAGTGCATAATAGAGTGTATAAGAGAGTGCATACAAGAGTGCATAATCTCGATGCATGCACTCGATATAGCACTATAGATCAGTGAACATGAACTCTCCTTGACCTGCTGTTGTGTATTTCGGTGACGTCATCAGCATCTCGTGCTAGTCTCGACTCTCGCGAACTCACGTGCAGCAGTAACTTGCACTTGTAAACAAGCAACACACCAACTGAGTGAGAGACGGTCTTTGAGGTAAGTTGAAAGTTAGTGGCCGGCCCCTGGAATCGGCACAGGCTGAACAAATATTAAGTAGGTGCACGAATATGGGAACTAACTTTGTTGTTGTTGTTGTTGGGAACTTAATCGTGTGTATATTTTAAATGCGTTACTTCTCTGCTTGAAATTTGTTGGTAGTTGATTTTAGCTTCATGCACTGATGCAGCAGCCAGCACCACGGCACTGCCACCCACTGGCACTGTAGCCCTGCCCCTGGGCTGGGCCAATATTAAATTGTGCACTAGACATTTTTACTATCTGGTGCTATATATTCTAGGACGTTCTACTTTCTAGAATAGTGTCCGATCATTAAAATTTCTAAGGCACAATTTATTGACCTCATGACCATTGACCCTCCCTCCCACTGAGCACGCGTCATGACTCATGGTACACTACACAAGGCTTAGCTCTAGACTATTAACTATACTCTATAGCCCGCGTACGGTTGCGCAGGTTGGCAGCAACCGTACGCGCGGGCTATAGTTACTAGAGCTACACAGGGCTTAGCTCCAAGAAACGGTATTGCTAGGGTTAGAATACCGACTTTATATTGACGCTAGTCATGCACACAACCTGGATGGGTTACACAGGGCTATATGCTCTACACTACAGTAAAGTTTGAAGGAACCCAATGTGAAATGTTTGTAGCATGTCAGCCCACACAGTGGTTCAAGGATAGAGAACATGGGTCCCATTGAGACCTATGTCATTTTCGTAAATGTGCATTCTGCCATCTGCCATCTGCCATCTGCAAGTGTACGTGGCTATTGAATGATTGCAAATTGAAGCTAGGTTCTCATATAACTCATTTATACAACTAATTTGTAACAAACCACAATAAAACCCACATAGCCCACGATGCGCCAACGTGTTTATGATCGCATATGGTTGTGTAAAGTACAGAATTTTGCAATGCAACACTAGTGCTTGAAAGCAAACCTCACTTAGCAAAGTGTTTAACATTTTGAAGGTGGTTATCGAACAAGATGAGACGATCAACGACTTGAACTTATGTAAAAACCAAAAACCAAGTGCGAAGCAACGAAAACTGTTCTCGAAGAAAAACGAGTTGTTTTTCGGCGCAAAGAAAGAAGTCTGAAGGATTTACAGTCGCCTGCGATCGCGTAAGAGCTTCGTACGAAGCAGCTTACAAGTGCGGCCAGCAACGACAAAGTCTGGCTATGGTAGAAGCGGAGGAGGTTGCGCACGCGTCGGACCACTGCACCGCTGCAAAATGGGAATCAAGTCGAGCATGGTGGCCGGAAGCTTTCTCGGGAGCCACCCCAGCAACTGCCTGTATCGCATCACGCCGGCGAGCTACAACCACAACTGGACGGACCTGCACTACGCGGCGTGCCAGGGAAACGTCCACGTGCTGCACAGGATCTTGTTCCTGGAAGGTCAGTGTCGAAGTAAAGGATGCAAAAAATGCGAGCGAAAGTGTTTGTGCAAAAGAGCTGATATTTGTTGAGGGGATGTCGCGTGGGTGTTTTATCACTGTATCGTTAAAAGCGATTTTCATAAGATTTCACATTGTAAGAATTGTGTAAATGTATAGTAAAGAAATGTAATTTAGGTCAAAGAAATTGAGGTACTTGCAGGGTTCGGTGGACACTTGGGCTGAGTCATCATATGCTGTGTTATTGCTACTTGTTTTGAAATGACGGAAAACCTGATACAAAATCTCTGTTATATTGGTGTATTATTGAAGCCAACAACCTGATATTTCCCGTTAACTGCGTTCATATCTTAGTAAAAACCTCTGGTGACCGGTCACCTTTAACTTGTATTATATTAAACTTTATCTTGAAAATATAAGATGCATGCACATGTCATGTGAAACTCGGCACAATACTGTTTAATACTCTAGCTGACATTTTTAGTCTTTTGTCAACGATGCATTTATAACTTCTCTATAGCATTACTTGCTGAATAATTTTGAGCATCTACTACATTCAGGGATTCGTGATATAGACACGAAGGATTATTATGGAAAGAGTCCGCTATATTGGGCATCTTACAAGGGCCATCTAGCATGCATGGAAGATCTCATTAGGTAAGATATGGAAATAAAGACAATAGTCACGGAGAGCCTAACATTTTGCACAAATTACAATCCAAATTGTTGAAAGAAAGAAAATGAGAAAAAAACTGAGATTCTAGCACCATTAATGGGAATCAAACACTCACGTAACAGCATCTCAATACACCCTTTAGTAATTGCTTGTGTTGCAAAACTTGATCTAGCAACAGTAGTGATCTTTGCCAGAATAATAACAATAAATTTGATTCCTAATAATTTGCGTCGCCCCTCCCTCATTGTATGCATGTCGTGATATGAATGGTATCGTGACTCGCACAACACATAAATGTCGTTATTGTGAACTACACCTATGTCCGTTTCAGGTTTGGAGCAGATGTAGATAGTGTGTGTTGCCATGGTGCTTCGCCGCTACATGTAGCCATAGGTCTCTACCCAGACTGTTCAGCTCTGCTGATAAAGGTAACGCTGTGTAACCACAGGGTTACAGAACTTGGTGTCGTATTGTTTTGCCCTTGGTTCTTGATCTGTCGCACTGAACAATGAAATCAACATCATGCATGTGATACGAATCTGATATTTATTAGACACACTGGCTTGTTTCACGTGACATAATTCACAGGATACAAACCTGCTATTGACTAGACACGCTGGCTTGTTTCACTCGAGTCGGCAACGTTCGATGGCTCTTGTTTTTTCAACGTGGCATTTTTGTCGTCGTTCCTACCAGCACGGAAGCAACGTTGACATGGCGGATAAGTGGGGAGTGACGCCGATGTATCTAGCGGCCAGCAACGCTCAGACGCACTGCATACAGCTTCTCCTGTCCGCCGGCGCGAAACCGACCTACAGAAATAGGGTGAGTGAATTCGCGGAGACGTTTTGTCGCTACTCTTAGCCCTGATTAGCGCATTTTCAAATTGTGATGGGTAAGTCATTAGGCTATTTTCAGAGACTAGCAGCTGTCATTATATCACTGAATCACATTCATAGGCTGCAGGCACAATCAGCAATAATATAGTGCGGCGTGTGCTCGTGAAGGGCGCATTTCTCGGGTTCACCCCGATCTGTCTGTACCGAATGCTCACGCAGCTCGAGAGTGCAGCTCTCGCGCCGCGACACACGCCCCTCACGCCTCACACCTTCGTAATTCACTCCATCTTGTCGACCGCGCGACGTGAACTTCACGGTCACGATTGAAACAATTCGAATCGGATTTTAATCAAATTGAATCGCTCTTTAGTGCCATCCGACAGTTCATTTTCTAACGCACGAATCGGCGACGACTTGTAAACCTCGACTATGCGAGTTCAGAAATCGGAATCGATGGGCGAAGCGCTTCTCCTGCTCTCATACCAGAAGCAACAACAATAATAACTAGACAGGGCGGACTCACGGAGCTGTGCATACACCTCCGCGCCAGACGACATAACGCCATACAGCCCCCCATGTAACATGTATGTGTTACGAGCTGGCTCGACCGCTCGCCGGCAGGCTGCTACTGACTGACTGAGCTGCTGCTGGCTGGCTCCGCTAACTTTGGGCGCTAATATCGGATTCTACTTTTTTTCTTAACTTTGCCGCGAACACACGTAGCCAACACGAACACAACTACATGAGAGGTTCGATCAATAACCTCCTCCAACTCCGATTGGGTGAGGGATAATAAACCACCGTAACAATCGGAATTGAGGTGACGCTCTTCTACCCTGTGTGATTTGCAGAGGTCATGGGATACCCAATAAAATAGTTAATATATTTATTATATTTAATATATAGTACTAATTCAATCCTCTCTTGTTGCGGGCGTCTTGCAAAGGACAGCGGTTTGCCGCCGCGACCAGTTTCAATCACGTACTCATCATTTCTAACGCGCGCGGCCGCGATAATGACAATTTGTCATTATTAACCCATGATAAGGCTAAACAAAAAATATGTTTGTTTCCACTAACGAGCTGAAAAAAATGGACCACCGGTAGGCAGAGCAAAACTTTTTTTTATCAAAATATTTTTTTTTTTTTCTGTTTTTAACGTAAATACTTGTTTGCTACTATAACAGCCCATATAATGACTTCAAAGTCAACATCAAATGCAATGTACGATCGATATCACGTTGGATTTTTTAATTAAAAAATTTTTTTTTTAAATACTATAATCTTTCTTTTTTTTGCCGATCACCAATAAAATGTTTCGACAGCCGGTTAAGAATCGGACCGCGTCGGGTAGCTGAAACAAACGTACTTTTTTTAGCCTCCTAATTCCATATCTCTCTCGTTGACGGCGTCTTGCAGAAGACTGGACTCGTGCCGAGGCAGCTCGCAAGCACCAGCAGTCGGCCGACTGGCTGGAGACGGTCTCCCACAAGCCCGCCCCGCTTGAGCCCAGGGGCGGCTGGGCGCGGGCGCGCTCCGGCCCTACCCCTGTCGCCCAAGCTCGCCCGATGCTCGCGCGCTGCCAAAGACACTCCGCCCGACTACCTCCTGCTTCGCCGACTTCGACGGGAGCCATAGCCACGAGGGTGCCACCTAGCGCACGTGCAGCCGCTGTTCGTCGTTGCCCGAGACGACCGCACTTTGTAGCGGCGGCCGAGACGAGGAGGCGAGGCGAAGACAGGGAGCGAAGCGGAGGGAGGGAGTCAGAGAGAGAGGGAGGCGAGGCAGGGTGAGATGCAGCGGAGGGGGATGAGTATAACGTCGCATATACGAGGGAGGAAGGAATGGGGAGGGGGAGTATCGATGCGAGAAGAGAGGTAGGGGTGAGCCGCAGAGGAGGGGGGAGAGTGCGGAGATGCGTACGCGGCGAGGTGGGTGTGTGTCGGCGCGTGCGTGAGAGAGGTAGGAGATACTAGGCGGGAGATGTGCGTGCGCGGGAGGGGGATGCAGCGAGCACGTACCCCTGGTGATGTTCGTCCGGTGATGTTTGCCCGACGACGCATTTCACTCGCACTCTGTCGATCGCCACGCTTTTTTGTTTCCCAGTCGTCATAAGTGCGAGGAGGAGGAGAAGCTATGGGATCATAATGTAGCCGGAAGATACCGGAAGACCGTGGCGGAAGTCTAGTTTGACTCGCGATGGCAATTGGTGTGAGTTTATGCAGATTTTGAGTGTTGTTGTTTAAAGTTATTTTATTGAATCGTAGCTATTTGAGAGCGAATGAAAGAGTATGGAGTGCAATCATACATTAGGGTATTTGTACAGGTGGAAGCAAATTTTGATTCAACGCTTTGTTTCAGAAATTTTACCACAACAAATGTTTTACTGGCTCTTTCAGCAGTGAACACCATTAAGCCCGCCGCACACGGTGAACTATCTGCTGAGCCAACCGCCTTAAGAGGCCGCTTTGGCCTCAGCCAGATAGCTCCAGCGTGTGCGCGCAGATTCTCGCACGATTATTTTGGCTCGACGTGCTGTGAGAACGATATATAATCGTGTTTGATATTTGTGGGCACGCGAGGCCAGAACCTCAGCGTGTGCGGCTCGTGAGCTATCAGCTCAGCCACAAATATTTACCGACAATGACAGGCGCAGGAATAGGGCATGTGATTTAAATGTCGGCGCCCACTGACACAGCCAGCAAAACTCTACTTTTCTGTAGATTCTGTGATTGTGCACGCTACACGTGCGTGTCGTGCGCGCAAGTGTGCAAGGTACACGTTCGCTGCGTGCGTGCATGCGGCGTGTGACGTACACATGCGTACATGAGTGTTGGCGTGCTGTGTACGTACACGTGCTTGCGCTGCGTCCAGTAGCCTGGGGCAACGTACACGTCGCGTGCGTGTGACACGTACAACGTGCGTGCGATTGCGTGCGGTGAACCATGCATTGCATGCCACGCATCGCACGTACGCACGCACGCACCACATGCACACACGGTGTACCTGCACCCGCACACACGCACGCACGCACGCACGCGGGTACCTGCCCACACGCAAGCATCACGACCGACAAACGCACGCACGTGTACGTGCCCACACACGGATACGCTACGCCCACGCACGCACGCCGACGTGATCACGTACACACGCACGCAACACATTATGTAGGCATGTGCTCGGGCACACGCACGCATGCACGCACCGCACGAAACGTGTACACTGCACACGCGCAGCACAACAACGACGCTCGTACGTTGCAACAATCACAGAATCTACAGGGAAAGATTAGCGTTTTCGCGTTCAGTGGGCGCCGACATTTTAAATCACATGCCATATTCCTGCGCTGTCATTGGTCCCGGAAATATTTGTGGCCCTGAGCCTGATAGCTCGACGGAGCCCGCACACGCTGAGTTTCTGGCACTCGCGGCCACAAATATCAAACACGATAGATATCGGTCTCACAGCCACGCGAGGCCAAAAATCGTGCAGAATCTGCGCGCACACGCTGAGCTATCTGCTGAGCCAACGGCCTCTTGAGGCCGTTGGCTCAGCAGTTAGTTCACCGTGTGCGGCGGGCTTTAGGCTATTCCAAGAGACAAATAAGTTTATTTATTTGTTTGGTTAAAACAACCTGGTACAGTTTTCCAATTTTTCCTCAGATCATGTATGCATGATGTGGTTGCATCATATATATGACAAGCCACTGTCTTACTGTCGTTGAATGTAAATTGTCGCCACTGCTGCCAGGCAGCCATATATTTCTTATTACATGGGTTTTACTCTATCCAAGATGTACACATAAATTTTTCGTTGTTTTGCCAACCCATCAATACAGAATATGGGTACCAGTCATCGATGCCATAGAATGCAAACTCATGCCAATTAATTTTTTGACTGTTCAGCTTCTTGTATATAAGCATATAAAGTAGAAAATGACAAAGCTGCCATATTGGGACGTAGCAAACAAATATAGTTTTCAGGGTTGTTTCATAGATGAAAGTGTTAAAATGTCACTAGACTCTCATTGCTTTAGTCTACACACATACGTGGTTGCTATGAGTGTTAGAACAACCATTACAATGCCTTAAGGTGCTTACTCAACCCTGTAATATACGTTTACCTCTCCTAATCCAAAGATATACCACAGTTAATCATATCATATAAAGTCATAATGTCATATGTCATTATGAAATCGATATTAAGTTATAGATTTGTTTGCATATATGTATAAATCAGGAGTAGATAAAGGGGAACTTTCCCCTTTATCTACTCCTGGTATAAATCCAACTGAACTTTCACCGTTTGATATTTGTTATCATTTCAATGTGTTCTGTTTTCCTGTAATTTATTCAGGAGTCTATCAATAGATCAATTGATAGACTCTTGATTTATTGTGCCTAGAATGTCTAAATGTCAGAGGAAACTACGTGATACATGGCAATCAAATTGTTATATATAATTACAGGTAGTATATCTATAATATCTGTAATAATAAGTAAATACATTCCTGATAGTAGTAATATTTTACCGTGTGTGAATAACTACAGTCAGGATCTTCAGCTTATATGCTATTGATATTTGATCGATTTTGTGTGATGAGACCATGAACCTATATGTATATACTAGTATTAAGAACACAGGGCTGGGACTAGTGGAGATGGGGCAGATGTCCCCTCTTCCAGGCAAATGTAGATACTGTTAACTTATATGGTCAATAGCGAATTGCCTACGGTCAACAGCCCAACTACCCAGAACCCCAACTGCGCGGGGCTTTTCTCTCCTCACCCACCTCTAGCCTACGTTGGCTACGGCCCTGGAACATATCTGTACTGAGTACATATATATGTATTATTATATACACGTGCTGGTATACATGGGTTCGCGAGGGTAGTTTATTTATGTCCGTATTGCACGAAGTGCCTAGAAGCTATCAAAATTACTTTACCGTCATGGTTATTATTGTATATATGGTGTAGCTGGGGCAAAATTGTATTTCTCGTGTGTTTAACCGTTCTATCATGGTGTTATCATGTTTATGGTAATTACATTATACTGTTTCCATGTTTAATCTGGCACCGTGCCAACTTCAGTTAGCAAGGACAGATACGTTATAAAACCGAATATGAGGTCATCGGGTTAACTATTACATGTTCTTATTCGTTACATTTCTGCAGTATAGGCCATGAGAGAATTATTAACTATAATGGGCGCGTCGTACGTGATTGAAGTGGCTCTTTTACCGTCATATTTTAAACGTTCGTAATATTCTAGTGAGCGAAGTTGTGAAGGTTGCTAGTTGAACGCGTGTGGCTTCGTTGCATACACGCATATGCACGTGTACGGATGTGCGAGATATTCGATTTCAATCAATAATGTTTACCACAGTATATATATATATATATACGGTATTTTATATTTAATAAAGCACGTTGTGTGTTAACCATGTATGACGTGTAATTGTTGTTTTCCCTCGAGTTAGATCCTATAGCTTAACCGCCCTCTACTTTACCACACGTCCGTTTAATCAAGTCGAAACTACATCACTTACATTGGTAACACCATGACCAGGAAATAAAAAGCGATATGTGTCCTACATGTATAGCAACTGTAAACCAAACCTGGTCCAACGAATGAACCACAAGCTTTTATTTATTTAGAATAGGACTCCACATTTTTCTGGCTGACACATAAAATTTCAGGCTGCCAATAGAGGGCGATATGTGTCCTAAATGACATATATTCTGCTGTGCGGCCCGCGAGTCTTTATGCAATGAATGAAACAGTATTTTTGTGACATATCAGTTTTAATTTACAAAGCTCATCTACACCCACCAGTCACTCTAATAATGAATAGGTGCCCAGTCGTAGTAAATTTCCCTGTAGCATAACGGGAAACCCGTGTTCGTCCATATCAAGTATCTACCAGATAAATGGACACTTTGTCAAAATCAGCCGTTGAAAAGGAGAATAAATGCTCGTTGCTTCTTCATGCTGGATCATCAGTATCCAATCTGTCGTACAACTGGTCGTATCTCTGAAAAGATATACTGTTCTTCTATACCAACCGTACATGGTAAATAAAATGTGTCTGAATCATATAATTATTTGTAGTTATAGCCGAATAAGCTGCTTGCCTATAGCCTGAGAACAATATATACATATATATACAATGTATATATAGATATATATATGTATATGTATATAAAATATATATATATATACAATATGTATATTTTCAATATTTTGTTCTCAGGCTCGTCTGTCTGTACATTTTAGGCCTTGAAACATAATGTTTCAGGCCAAGAGATGGCGCTGTTTACAGTGGCCACGCATTCGGTGACGTCACTAGACTTGTGTTTACATTCAGTCACATCGGCGAAGTGTGTTCGGTCGGCTGTCGGTTTGCTGTGCATTTCCGTGTAAATTGTTAATATTCACCGTAGTACGTTTTGACACACTCATTGGATACGTGCAGCGC